TGAGCTGTGTAAATGCTAAATGTGTTTTCTTCCCTTTGCTATCAGTTAGATATTTAAGAACTCAACTTAAGAAGAAATAGCCACCTAAAAGTGGGCCAAAGGCCACAGTCCTGTATCCTTTCTCAGACAGAATACTGTATAGGAGACTTTTTAAAAAATTGTAGTAATATCGTATATATAGCATAAAATGTATCATTTTAACCTTTTTTAAGTGTACAGTTCAGTGGCATTAAGTACATTTACAATGTTGTGCAACCATCACCACTATACATTTCCAGAACTTTTTCAGCATCCCAAACAGAAACTCTGTACCCATTAAACGTTAACTCCCCATTCCCTCTCTCCCAAGCCCCTGGCAACCAGCATTCTACTTTCTGTCTCTATGAATTTGACTATTTAGGTACTGCAATCGAGGGCCGGCCCCATGGCTTAGCGGTTAAGTGCGTGCGCTCCAATGCAGGCGGCCCGGGTTCGGATCCCGGGCGCGCACAGACGCACTGCTTCTCCGGCCATGCTGAGGCCGCGTCCCACGTACAGCACCTAGAAGAATGTGCAACTATGACATACAACTATCTACTGGGGCTTTGGGGAAAAAATAAATAAATAAATAAAATTATAGGTACTGCAATCGAGTGGAATCATACAGTACTTGTCCTTTTGTGTCTAGACTATTTCACTTGGCATAATGCTTCCTAGGTTCATTTATGTTGTACCTTGTACCTTGTATCAGAATTTCATTCCTTTTTAAGGCTGAATGATATTCCATTGTATGTATGTACCACATTCTGTTTATCTATTCATCTGTTGATGAATGCACAGGAGACTTTTAAAATTTTGTTTTTGCTTTCATCACACACGCACAAAAAAAGGTAACCGTGTGAGGAGATATGTTAATTAGCTTGACTGTAGTAATCATTTTACTAGGTATATGTATACCAAATCATCATATTGTACACCTTAGGTATATACAATTTATATTAAAAAAATAAAATGATATAAAAATTTTATTTTTAATATGTGCCATTTGGAAGTCTTTCTTCCTTTTAATTTCCTACTATTCTTTCACTTGGGGGTCATTTCTTGAGCCCCTATGCGATGTCAGGTACAATGATGAACAAGCTCTACCCTGCATTCAGAGAACTTCTTGTCTGGTAGGATAGACAGACAAGAAAATTGGGGATCCCGGCTTGGTGGGTGAAAGGCAGAGCGGAAGGTGGGTGGCTCACTATTGGAGAAGGACCACAGTTACTATAGGTGGGGAGGTGGGGGGCCTGAGGGATGAAGAGCCCTATGTCGTGTTGTAAGTTCTCTTACCCAAAAAGCTAGAAATAGACGTGAGCAGAATTAAAGGTTGTGTACAGAAGAAAAATCTGTTATACTGCAGTTCCTCCACCCTTAAGCATTATTTCTTGTAATTATTTTCAAGTTTTACTATCAAAGACTCTCTTCTCCCCTAAAACAATAGAGTACAACCTTAATATCATTTGGCCTCTAAATAGACAGGAAGTTGTGTGTGATATGACCAACTTTCAAGCAATATTACCGTGTGTTGTGCAACACTTAAATTTTCAAAATCTGTTCTATGCATTATATTCCCATTTGTGCATACAGAGAATATAATTAACTTGTCCATGGTGGAAGAATAGAGTGTAGAATCTGGATCTCCTGGCATTTATCCTACTGTTCTTTTGTCTACATTTCTTAATACTCTGTATATAAAATTGTTCAGATTTTTTTGGCCTCTTCATGTGTCAGCCATTTTTGGGCATTGGGAAGGTCCAAGAAGGTAGGTCTCCAGGGTACGAATTTGCATAGTATATAATTGATAGGATGGTAGAACTGACGTGCATTTGGATGGTTGTGTGTGAGCTGAGGGCAAGAGGTGGAATCTGACCCATCTGCCCTTAACTTGAAAGAGCAGAGTAATGCCCGTATTAGCAGTATGAGAGTTTCAAAGGCAGCTAAAGCATGTACCTCGCTTTCTAGATATCAAATTCTGTATAGTTTAAATTGCTTTTTTGTGTTCTGCTATTATCTCTCCAATCTGTATATTTGCCCAGTTTGAGCATCATCTTAAGCATGTTTGTTTTGTAATCTCTAACTCTTTATAAAAATCTATTAGCAGACTGCTAGTAACAAACTGACAGTAAGAACACCCGCAGTGGAAAAGGCATTTTCTTGATGTCTTTGCAGGCATGACAGGGAAGGTAGCCTCTTCTTGGCCTTTTTAATCTTGAGCCCTAACTTCTTGCTGTTTATGTGAGTCCATAGGAATCTTAACTCACTTTAGTGGTTTCAGTGACCATCTTTTTGCTAAGGATTCCCCAAGGCACAGCTTCAACCCCAGGCTCTTTCCAATTTTGCAACTGTACACTGGACATTTGTACCTGAATATCCTCATGGCACCTCAAAATCAACCCAAAGCAGAATTTATTGTTACTTCCTTCTCCCAAACCTGCTTCTGCCCCTGTGGTCCTTATCTCTTTTAGTGACACCACCGTCTTCTCAGCTGCTGAGATCAGAAGCTGTCTTCCTGTTCTCTCCCAACACCTCGTTAGAAACTAAGTACAGTTGTACCTGACTCAACGACGGGGACACATTCTGAGAAATACGTTGTTAGGCGATTTGATCATTGTGAGAACATCATAGAGTGTGCTTACACAAACCTAGTTGGTATAGCCATCTACACACCTAGGCTGTATGGTACTAATCTTATGGGACCACTGTTGTATACGTGGTTTGTCATTGACTGAAACGTCATTATGCAGCACATGACTGTGGTTGGTTCTATCTTCCAAATATCTCTTTGATCTGACTTCTACCCACTTTGCTTTCATTTATGTCTTTTACCTGGACATAGCTTCTTGCTTTTTTTCGTTTTCTCTAAGTCATTTTCTTTTCACATTGCTTCCACAGTTAACTTTCTAAGATAGTCACTCACATCCTTAATGAATTCCAATCACCTGTGAGATGAAGCACCCACCTCTTAGCAAGGCCCTCCTGTGTTTTCCTCACTTACCCCCTCGAAGTGCATCCTGCCCTCCAGTATCACATATTTCTTTTCCTTCCCCAAATGCTACCTGAGTTTTCATGCCTTCTTCCCTTTGCACACTGTTAAATAAATCCCTGCCTCAAATAAATGTCCATCATCACAATATTATCTCAAAATTTCTCTTTCTTCCAAAGCCTTCTCTACCCTTTTCTTCACCTCAGGCAATTAACTGCCCCTTTCCTCCTGTAGTTTTGTTTTAAACAGCTTTCTCGAGATATACTTTGCATATCATAAATTCACCCATTTTAAGTATACCGATGAGTTTTAGTAAATCCATACATTTGTGCAACCATCACCACAATCCAGTTCTAGAACTTTCCATCACCGCCCAAAGTTCTCTCATGCTTGTTTGTGGTCAGTCCTTGCTCTCACCCTAATCCTGGGCAACCACTGATCTGCTTTCTGTCTCTGTAGTTTTGTCTTTTCTAGAAATTTCATATAAAAATCACACAATATGCAATCTTTTGAGACCGGCTTCTTTCACTCAGCCTACTATTTTTGAGAACTTCCATGTTGTTGAGTGTATAAGTAGTTGCTTATTTGTTTATTGCTGAGTAGTCTTCCATTGTATGGATGCATCGCATTTTGTTGACCCAGTTACCAGTTGATGGACATTTGAGTTGTTTCCAATTTGGGGCTATTATGAAGATACTGCTAAGATCATTTGTGTACAAGTCTTTGTGTGGACCTGTGTTTCCATTCCTCTTGCCTGGATACTTGGTAGTAGAATTTCTGGGTCATATGTTAAGTGTGTGTTCAACTTCTGAAGAACTGCCAGACTGTTTTCCAAAGTGACTGTTGCATTTTATATTCTGACCAGCAGTGTAGAAAGGTTTTGGTTTCTCCACATCCTTGCCAATACTTGGTATTTTCTGTCCTTTTGCTTACAGCTATTCTAACGGGTGTGTGGTGGTATCTCACTGTGGTTTTATTTTGCTTTTCCTGTAGTCTTTTATTTTTTTATTTTTTTTATTTTTTATTTTTTATTTTTTTAAAGATTTTTTA